AAAATATACTATTTAAAAAATTATACAAAAAGATCTAAGAAATTGATAAAGATAATAAGGTATTACGTCATAAATATTTTAGCAGAAACGGAACGTAAATTAAACGATATATTAAAATTACAAATATGTAAATTTACAACGCCTCTGTTATAGATATGCAAATAGGACTTTATATACAGCAGAAATTATTCAATCGTTTCTTAGAGATTTATGAAGATATCATGAGAGATTGCAAATATTCGCCAAAATTAGCCCATCCACCTATCAAAGTAAGCATATTTTATAATTAGTTATTATTTCAGTGACCACGTCCTTTATTGTAAAGGATAGTCCTTTATTTTAGATAGTTATCCTTTAGATTTATTTGTTTCTTCAAAACTCAATTTTGTCCTTTACTTTCCAATATTATCCTTTATTTTGACATTACAAGAAATTTTTTTCTAACTAGCGTTCCAATGTCTACATATAATATTATATTAATGAGTAAATTTTTATAGAAAATATTTTACAGTTTTATATAGATAAATACAATTTGTTTTTGTTAATTATATTTTTTAATTTTTTAAATTCAAACTAGAATTGTTTTCATTTTTTATTATTTTAAACTTTTTATTATTTCAGATTAAAGATTTGTTCCAATATAATCGAAATCAGTTTCAAACTATCAGAAAATTGCATATTATCTCAATTTTGATTATTAGCACTGTGCAATAAAATTCTATTATATATTGCACAGATTCTTGACAATCAAACTGGTTTGAAAATATGCAGGAAGAAAGCTCTAAAATTTTCAGATTTGTCCTTTATTTTTTTAAAGAAAATATGATCACCATAGTTATTATTGACTCCACGGAGAGAATAATTTTGTTGAAGTATCCAAAAATTTAATTAGATACAGATCTAAAAATAATTTTGTTTAAACATTAAAATTTTTAGGTTTTTATACTTGATTCCTACCTAAAAATGTTGATCGTCTAACAAAATTGTTTTCAAATCTATTATATATCTAGCGAAATACAATATTTGAATACTTCAGCAAAATCATTTTCTCTCTCTCTCTCTCTCTCTCTCTCTCTCACGCTCTCTCTCTCTCTCTCTATTATGAAGAACTAAAATAAAAAAATAAAATTATATTTTTTTTAAGTTTGAAGAACCTATTTATGGTACGACCGATTTGAGGTATTCAGATTACATGGCACCAAGTTTCATGCTAACGTAAGCGAAAATCAATTTAACTGAATTAGATGAAATTAATTGTTGTTACTAAAAAATTATTTATATTCTTGCAGAATGAGCTTCTTTTTAGCCGCCGCAGTTTCTACCACTTTAATAATTACAGATCGGATGGAGGGTGTCTGGAATCGAAGCGTAGTTCAAGGTAATTTACTAATATATTGTCAATCGCGTTCAAGATTATGTTTTACAATTATTGCTTCATCATTTTATTTCTTATCACAATAATGCAAATGTGTAATATAAATATGTGATAGGGGTCAGAACAGAAGAAATTCTGCTGTCTCACGTTCTTATTCAGAGCGTCGTCATTATCATCCATACAGCTATGATAATGCTCTTAATATTTCCTATATGGGGCCTAGAATGTAAAGGATCGATATTTATAGTAATGGTCCTCATGTTTCTCTCCGGTTTTTGCGGATTAATGTACGGTACGATTCTTCATATAATTCAATTCCGATATCAAAGAAATGTTATAGAGGGTAAACTATTTTAATATATAGACTAGTTAATAGTCGATTTACTCAAAATCTATAAGTTCAAAAAATGTTTCAGACAAAAGTTTTATAGTTTAATGGGGAAAAAAGTTGATGATTTTGGTTGACCTTGAGAAGATGTCCTTAAGATTAGGTTACTTAAAATTTTTTGAACGGAACTCTTTATTTTTTATTACATATCCTTATAGCTGTCTTTAAGACTTTTTAAAAACATTATAATAAAGTTTATTTTCATTAAGTATTTTTCGAGTTATAACGCTTAAAAGTTACAGTACCGTTGGCATTTGCATTTTACTCAAAGTGTCAGATGGATGGCTAAAACCTTTGAAATCGTGGTTACAATTATGACGTTGATAACTTATTACATACTATAATTTAATTTGCCTTAAACTATAATAACATTTTTGCCTTAAACTTAAAGATTTTGAGAAAATCGACTGGATTAATTAAAATGGTTCCTTATATAATAGTAATTATGAACAGACTTCCGAAAAGGTGAACTTCCTGATTTTCTTGTCGATTGATGTACTACTGTATTTTGATGTTCTAATTACAAATATGATAATGAAAATTGCTGACAAAGTTATTTTTAAGGTCAAATGTTTAAAAAACAATTTTGTAAACATTTTTTTCGCGTTTCACATGGATAGTCTTCTTCTTCTTTTGTAATTAATGGTCCTGGTCTTCGTTGATGAGATAAAGTTGACCAGTCGTTTCCCAGACGCCTCCTTCCACAGGAGTCACAGTGGAAAGTCGTGTGTTCCTAAGCAGAGAGGAAAGGTGAAAGTCGCTTCGCGTGTAAGTTGTACGCCCCTAAGCAGGAGGAAGGTTGAGTGGGAGTAGCTTTGCGTGGAAGACGTTGCGCTCCTAAGCTTAGTTACATTGCGCGGCAAATGACCGTCAAAATGACCTTGTTGGTAATTTTCATGATATTTGTAATCAACATACCAAAATACAGTAGTATCAATTGATAATAAAATTGAAGGGTTATCCTTTCAAAAGTTCACTCATAGTTATATAGTAGTAATTTATATAGTAGTAATTCAGAAATTAAGAACTAAACTGATCATTTATGTTAATATATTTTCAGGTTTTATTATCTCTGTTACATGCAAAAATCAAATTATAGCGCATTATAGTTCAGCCGGAAGTTTTTTCCCGTTTGTAGTGCTCAACGGTAAGTCTTTACTTTTTATGCTTTAAGAAATAATTTTTTTAAAATTTAATATTGCTACATGATGACATTATTAATTTGATTATTTTTTAATTTACAATTCTTTATTACGTAATAATACATTATTAATACTATTATTAATATAAAAAATTAGTAAATGTTAGTTCAAATTAACAACAATGTCGGAAGAATAATTATCTTAATACATTAAACAAATTTTTATCAATATATCAATTGAAAAAAATCATAGGATGTCTATGGCCATTGGAGGGAATGCCAATAGTACTTCGCTGGTTTAGTTATGCATTGCCAACTACTTTGCCCTCTACATCATTGAGAGAAATCATCTCCAAAGGATATTCCATATTTAAGCCACAAATTTATAATGGCTTTTTAATAATTGTAGGGTGGTCATTATTGCTTCTTATCGTAACTATATTCCGTGTAAAATCGAAGTCTTTTTGATATTATTCAGAAAAGTAAACAAAATTTTTTAGAAAGAAAATGATCTTGTATAATTTATAGAATTCAGTTAGATTAATATGCAAAATATTTCATTTAATTTGATGCATATAAAAATATTCTTGTTGATCTGTCTACAGAACCATAATATCTATTTAAATAGATATTATATATTATAATTAGTCCATAAATAATTAATCACTCTAAAGAAATACAATAAGTATTATGGCTAATATTATTTATTTAAGAAATTATGATAACATATTTTTTCTATTTAATAATTACGTCTTATTTTATTAAATAATGTAAAAAATAATATAAAATTAACTACTAGTATTAACTTCTATATGATAGTAATATGAATTGTTTTCAAATAATAATGATAAATATTTTAAACAAAAACAAAGTACCCTAATTATTATATATTTAGTTTTAGTGAATGGTTTAATTGTATAAATAATTATGTTGTTCAAACAATTGCGTTGTTTGAAAAATAAAGTAATCAATTAGTTTTCAATGTATTTGCGTTAATTTAAGTTTATGGAAAATAAAAAAAAAATCAATATACATTATTTAAATTATTATACAAAATTTAAATTGAACTTATGATTAATTTCATTTTTTTCTTTTATTTGAGTTACTAATTCTTCAAATGTTGTTGGAATTGCTGTACATTCAAGTTTTTTTGTTCCATCATTTCGTCTTTTTTCTCACATATTTGAGATAAAAGGAAACCTAAAAATAAGAAAATAATCTTACTATTTCAAAAAAAAAATTATAATAATGTAATACATAAAAATACAATAAATTAAAAATATATAATAAGTGTAAAGTTGTTGTACACATATTTAAAAGTAAAATATAAATGTAAAAAATAAAGTTCGGCAAATATTTAAAAATAAAGTGTAAAATTAAATATGCAAGTATATAAATAGTATACAAGTATATAAATAGAAACTTCTCTCTCTCTCTCTCTCTCTCTCTCTCTCTCTCTCGCTCTCTCTTTCTGTCTCTCCCCCTCTTACTCACATAATGCCGCATGATTCAATATTTTATTTTCCAGATTAGCATTTTTTATCCGTATCGGCGATAAATATCTTTAGGAAAATAATTTATTTTAATGCCTTTGTTAGTATTATTACAACCAACTGCTGCACGATGTCACCAGAGGTCGCTATTTTTCAAGAACATCGACGTGTCTTTATATACTGCCACACTAATATCTCACGCAATTTATAATTGAAGCTGTCGTACTTTCGTGTCAATTTTCATATAACGAATTCGTCGCGATAAAGCGTCTAAGTTTAATTCTAAAAACTCGACTTCTAAAGACTCGTTTGTTCGTGCAAACGTGTTTGTGGAATACTATTTCGTCAGTATAAGTTGCAAAACTTTCGGATCATACGAGTATAAATATTGTCACAACTTAACAGCTTGAAACGCCATATTACACACTAAAAAAATTGGGGAATTCAACTCGAATTGAGGTAAACAATCTTAGGGTTAAGTGGTTAAGTTATTGGTAGTAACCAAACATAATTGTATCGTCAATTCAAATAATTGTATGAGCTCGATGAAATAAATCTATAATAGAATAGATTGATTTTAACATTTGACTGAATTATTCTACAAAGTAATAAGAACTCAATAAATTGTTGATAGTAATATCGAAGTAATCTCTAATTTGTTTTTGAGTGAAGTAGATTTAATAATTCATCTAATAAGACAATTCATTAAATTTATTCGATTCCGTTATTTTATAAAATGATTTAATTAATAATTAAAATCTTCTGTCATATAGATCGATTGATTAGTAGCTGCTTTGAAAAAAATGTTTGTCGCCATGATGTGGCAAGAAGTATATGAAAAGATTATTTGACCATTCTCGCTTTATATAGATAGGCGTCGAATTTCTCTTACGAGTGCACGCATCATCTGTTAACAGCTCCACAAAACGCTCCCTCCTTCTAAATCAAAGTGTGAATATATATTTTATATATTAATTTAATATTTTATTAAATTCCTATTACTTTTAAGTCGTGTTACATTTACGTCATATTCATGTTCGTTTACTACCAATAATGTTTCATTCAACTTTACAAATACGCTTATAATTATGCCGTCCCATCATTGAATTACGTAAATAATTAGTTTTCAATTTACTTTCCTGTATGATTGATTTGATCTCCATAAAGAGGCAGATTTATGAGAATCATTTAAATCACTCTTGTAGTAGTTGCATGATTTTCTAATATTATTGCAGTAATCTTATTTCAGATCAGTTAATCGTATACTTTGTTTAAATTTTTTAAATACTTTACTACGTGAAATTATTCAGCTAAGTAATCATCTACTAGTGTAATTATTTATCTAACTAGATTTTTATTCTTCTTGATTTAAGTTTTTAATTCTTCTCAAATCGCGCAACCTTCAGATTTAGTTCTTTCCAATCTTTCGAATCTGAATATTTTTTATAGTGCTAAGAAATGGTAAAAAATATATCAATTTCGAAATTTTTGCCCAGAATCTCGCGATCGGCGGCTTTATAAATAGGATAACGTTTATTTCAAAACCTCTTCCTCGTATTCTCCGGTATCAGCGCTCTCGATGCTCCTCCCAAAGATCTCGATTCCGACCATAAATGCGCCCTCAGGGTCGTGCGTTCTGTTACATTAAAATGAATTCAGATTTTTTGAAATACGGATACATGAATGTTATAATGAAACCTTTTCAATCCAGAATGCATTTTTATTTATCTACAGGAATTGCATGGGACAAATGTTTCTTCCTTTTTAATCTTAAATGCATTTTTATTTATTTATAGAAATGGCATGGAGTATATTTCTATGTTTTTTAATCGAAAAATAATGTTATAGTATTTTGTGTGCATCGTGAATACTACTTTATTTAAAATTCTGAATAGGAAATGCAGTTTTTCAATCAAGTTGAGTCTAAAAATAATATCGGCCATTTCTGTGCATTGTGAATACTATTAAATTCAAAATTTTTAATAGAAAATGCAATTTTTTAATCTACTTGAATAAAAAAAAATTTTTCTTCTAAAATGGATCATAAATACTATTTAATTCAAAATTATGAGTAAAAAATCCATTGTTTCATTTAAAAATGCATCATGTTATTTTATTTAGAATTATGAATAAGAAATTTTTCGTTTTAATTCAACTCGTGAGTTAAAAAAAAGTTATACCGTAAAAATATATCATAAAATTCTACTTCATTTAATAATTAAAAGAAACATAAAAAACCACGTAAGTATGTAAAATATATATTACATATATAAATTCTTACTTTTAATTAATAAATTAATCGCTTTTATGTATATTTTATATTATTACGTTTCCTTTGTTATACAACTAGAGTATATATTGTGTATAAAAGTTTTAAAATAATAACTATAAAATATACTATAAAATATATTCATGTACTACTTTAATTTATTTAAACTTTTACATGTATACAAATTTTTTATATAGAAATCAATCCATTTTTATGGCTTTAACCTAATAATAAATCAAAATAGTAATTACATGAAATTCTATAGTTATTTTAAAACTTGTATACAAAATATATACTCTAGTTGTATAATAAAGAGAACGTATTAATATAAAATATACATAAAAGCAATTAATTTATTAATTAAAAATAAGAAATTTATATATGTAACATTTATTGTTCATATTTACGTTCTTTTTATGTTTCTTTTAACTTAAATAAAGTGGAATTTTATTTCTCTCTCTCTCATGATATATTTTTACGGTACAACTTTTTTTAAATTAATAATAAGATTAAGAAAACAAGATCGTTTATACATTACTTTAAATACGAACTACAGTCTGAATGTTAAGATATTGAACTATTATATATATTTATTTAAATGAATTAATTTCAGAAATGATAATTGCGTACCAATATGGTTGTCGGTCTTTCAACGCAATCAATCTAAAATATTAATAATCCCCTCAAATTTCCCAAATTTAATCTCAAAAACTGTAATCTTAATAAATTTATTGCGAAAAATATTGCCTCGGCCGGGAGTGAAGCCGGATCTCTTGCATTCCGTGCAAAACCATTGTTAAATTACTCAGTTGAATCAATACGTAAAATTTCTAATTAATAATTCTGAATAAAGTAGCATTCATGATTTTTAAATGAAACAATGGATTTTCTATTCGCAATTTTGAATTAAACAGTATTCATAATCCATTTCAAAATAAAAACTTTTTTTATTCAAGTGGATTAAAAGATTGCATTTCCTATTCAAAATTTTGAGTTTAGCCGTATTCACGATGCACAGAATTGGCCGATATTATTTTTAGATTCAACTTGATTGAAAAACTGCGTTTCCTATCCAGAATTTTAAATTAAATAGTATTCACGATGCACAGACTACTATTTTTAGGTTAAAAAGCATAAAAATTTACTCGATGCCATTCCTATAAATGAATAAAAATGCATTCAGGATTGAAAAGAATTCATTTTAATATTCATGAATCCGTATTTTTAAAAATCTGAATCCATTTTAATGCATTTCAATCCGTTCTTGTTTGTTGGGACGTTCTGCTTGCATTTTCTTAATAGAAGATGATGCATTTTCGTAATAGGAGGTAATGATGAAAATAATAATAATTCAAAAATGTTGCACGTTTATATAATCATAAAAGTTTTTACCGGTCATAGTTAGACAACATATTTCTTATAATACATAATGTAAATAATAAATTAAATAATATTCTTTATTTTTTTCCTTTAATTTACAAGATAAAATTAATTAATACGATTATAATCTTTTCATATATTATTTAAATGACGTAAATGTTATCTAACTCCGTAATAAAAACTTACGTGATTATGCATACGCAGAACGTTTTTAATATTTAATTGCTCCATTATCATTTCCTATTACAGGAAAATACGAGCAAAAGGTGCTGCGTGAGAAATCGAACAAAAAAATATAAGCTGAAGGTGCTGCATGAAACGAATGCGGATGGTATACAGAGATGTTTGCAATTAATTTTTATTGACAATATTTCTTATACATATAGAGTAAAAGCATTAAGTGCGGATCACGCACTAATTCCAGATTACATATTATATTTAAATATTGTAATTATAATATTTTTCATCAAATGATGCATATCACAAGATTCTTTAGTATTTGTTTTATCTTTTCAAGTGTTAGTTATCAAGTGTTTTTTATTTATTAGCAACAGTGTTGCATTTTACTGATGTCGTTAATTTATAAAAAACGTGACACATAAACTAAATTTAAACTAAGATATGTATCTTTAAAATTCAAAGTGTAATACCCCATAAAGATTGCTTTATTGATTCCAGGAAGTAATAAAAAGCATTAGATTTTATGAAAATAAATTAATATCATATTCATTTGAATTTAAATCTAAAAAAAATAAAGCAACTGCTCCGCAATTAGTATATGGAGTATAAATGTGAATAATTATTATTACTTTATTGAATTAAAATTAAAATAATACCAAAATGAAATAAAAAATTTAAATATAGTAGAGAACGCCTAGGATCGGTCACACAAAGTTAGATATTTCTAAAAATATATTATTTATTGTGGTTTATGAATTTAATTTATCTCAAATGAGATTGTGCACCCAAACATATTTAAACACAATCATTCTGAGATACTAATAATCGCAAGCCGTTCATTAATAATTCAAGTCCTCCGTTATTTATCTTCTCTCATTCGATTCTGCTATTTCTGGTATTCAAAAATCTTGACTTCAAATATAGATGCTGCGACTAAAATATCCAGAAACTAAGCTTTAAAATAATAAAATTATTCCTTCATTTTTTTATTTATTATACTAATTTCGCAATTTTTGAATCTAAAATTTTTGACTTTAGAGGATTCAATAATGCAAAAATACCCTAAAAAACCTAAAAAGATATTTGAATTTTTATTTGTATTTGCTGTAAGAAATATTGATACATATTTTTCTACAGAATCTATCTATAAAATTTATTTCTTAACAATTAAGTAAGTTTTAAACATTTTCATTCCTTTTTAATGTAATATTTTTTATGTATTTATATTTATACATAGATATGTGGGATGGGTGACTGAGCGGAGCGACGAAAGCGCGCATGCGCGAACGGACAAGCGATAGGCGGAGTAGACATCGAATATGCATCGAGCAGAGATAACTTTTGTGTTTATCCGGTTTATCGTGAGTCAGCTCGTTCGGGAATCATTCGAGCGATCAATCCTACAGATATATCTCAAGATTTCACACGAAATCGCTCATCGCTGCTTATAAAAACAGGAATCATAACCGTAACGAAGAATATATCAGAAGATTTAAATATTGTTAATTTTAATTCTCTGGCCTTCAACTCACGCTGTAAACTCATACCATAAGCGATTGGAAAATTATTTCACCATTTACCTAACTTGCGAGCATTGCTTTCAATTTTATGTAATTTTTTTTTATTCAAACATGTCACAAATAACAAATCATTTTCAAGATATTAAATACTTTTCTTAAATTATACTTATATTTTTCAAAAATTATTTTTCTATAATTAAATAAGGTAAATAAGATATTTCAAATTGTTTTATCATTAATTATTACATGTATCTTACGCAAATTCGATCTGTAAACTTTTAAAATTTTGAAAATGTTAGAAAAATACGATTAAATAAAATATTATTAAATTGAAAGCAAAAGAAGAATATGATTCAATACAGATTCAATTTTTATATACTATCTTCACATTAATTGTCAATAATAAAAGTTATCTTACTATCATTGAGACAAAATAATATTTTGAAAAATATTTGCCTGTTATAAATTCAATAAGCGTTATTGATCTTTTCATACCACTTATATTGAATTGAACAACACTTAAATTTAATATCACTTTAAAAAGTTAATTGTTCCAGTAAATCACAATCTATTTTTAAGTCATTTGAGAAAAAATTGTTATAGTTTGGCCGCTAATCAAATATTCATCACAATATCGTAAAATGGTGCAACAAGAGGCTGTGGTCGTAAGGAAAGCCGTAAAGCGTTATGGAAAAGAGTTGGTGTTCAATGGCCTGAATATGACTGTTTCAAAAGGTTCCATGTAAATAACCGTTATTTATCATGTTAATACAAAAGATTAATCGTACTTATTTATTTTCGCTTCAAGTTGTTAACAAATAATTTTCCGAAAAGAATAATTTAAAAAATGCTCCATAGAAGAAAAAGAAAGTGCCATAGAATTAATTAAGTTTTATTAATTAAGCGATTATCTGCGCGATTTTTACATTATTCGAGAAACAAGATAAATTGCTATTTTACATGTACATTCGCCGACTTCTTAAATTGCTGCCGTTTGCGCAAAATTTATGATAGGATAATCGTATAATTTCATAATGATTATTCAAATAAGAAAATAAATTTAAATAAAAAATTTTATTCGAATGTATTATTTAAAATAAAATAAAGCATATAAATAAAATCTTTCTTTTAAACAGATACGGATTGTTGGGATCTAGTGGATGTGGCAAAACCACACTATTGTCCTGCATCGTCGGGGTTCGGTATCTTGATAGCGGAGAAGTGTGGGTCTTGGGAGGAAATCCGGGCAACAAGGGCTCTGGCATCCCTGGACCTCGAGTAGGTTACATGCCGCAAGAGGTTTCCTTGGTTGAAGAGTTTTCCATGAGCAATGCCTTCTATTACTTCGGTAGAATTAATGGGCTCGACGATGAGGAGATCGGTAGGATGTAATAAAAAAAATATTAGCATTCGTTGCACGTGAAATGTCACGCATTTTCTATATTTCAGTTATACAAAATATTTTTGAGTAAACGTATTGTAAACCGTATCTGTTTTTGTTTTAAATTATTCGTATGCAAAATATTTCATAGCGTAATTTAATTCAAACGACTATAGCTTTCCCGTGTTATTCCTCAGAGACGAGACAGCGATTCTTCTCGGAGTTGCTTCAACTACCCCCAGCAGATCATCTAGTGAAGAACATGAGTGGAGGTCAGCAAAGAAGAGTTTCTCTTGCCGCCGCATTAATTCACAAACCCGAACTTCTAATTCTCGACGAACCCACTGTGGGCTTGGATCCAATTTTGAGAGAGAAGCAAGTAGATTTTGCTCATTTTAGATACAATATAAAGAATAATAATAAGAAAGTGTTTGGATGTACTTTTTTTTTGTAGAATTTGGGCCTACATGATTCAGATCACGCAGGAAGAAAATATCACAGTGCTGATCACGACACACTACATTGAAGAAACTAAAGATGCTAATAAAGTGCGTTTTGTTTCTATTAAAATAGTTGCAGTAGGTCATTTTTAGCCAATGTTACACGGTGTACAATGATATAAACAACAATAAATGTCCGTATCAACGTGCGTGCATTTCTGCTTTTTCGCTATCAGCATTACCCAAGATACATCGCGTGATAGTTACTGAATTAAGTATCTCTTAGTATAGTATGTCTTGTAGAATCTAATCAGTCTCGTTAAGGCTCCTGAGTAATGATTACAGCCATATTAAATCGTGACGTTAGAAGCGGGAAATGACACAATTTTTATTACATGCTATTTATAAATAAAGACAATTTGGATAATACAAAATGATAAGATTGCTTTAAAACGTTTGTAAAAATAAAACGAAAATTATGTTTATCCTCCCTGACAATCAGTAAATAATCGTAAAAAATGATAAAAGAAACGTGTAAGTGAAAATAAGCTGCACATGCGCGTTGCATAAAAACACTTCATTTGCTTAATAAAAATTAATATGTCATTTTTCGCTTGACGTCATGATTCAATATGATTGTGACGACTACTCAGGAGCATTGGCATACACATATGTCAGTATATTTGTCGTGTGTCACATTGAATTTTTATAAATCTTCCTTTTCTGATTCGTCTGAGTCTTTTATACATTGAAAACCATTGTCTTTATGAATCCCTAGTTTATACTAATACTATTTTGGAATCTCGCGTAACTCAAAAATCAAACTGAAAATGATAAAATTGTATTTTCATGAAGTTCTACTTTAAGACTTCGGAAAATTTTATTCTTCATATTCGAATTCATTTGTGTATTTTCATTATTATACAGATTGGTTTGATCAGATGTGGTAAATTGTTAGCGGAATCTGTGCCACAAGAATTGCTGGAGCAATTTGAATGCTCGTCTTTGGAAGAAGCTTTTCTGAAATTATGTAATGTCCAAAATAACACAATCACTTTGAATGAAGCTCGAGAAGTGGAAGACACCAGCAGTGATGTCTTGTATAAAGATCAAAATCAATGTGAATTAACAAAAGTATATATATGTAGAAATAATCTATGCCCTAATCATTACTATAAAAACTATATAATGGGTATCATTTTATAACATTAATAATTTGAATTTTGAAGGCAATGTCAGAGTACGAAGCAATTTCGGAACGTCAAGTTTCACGATTGAGAAGGTTCAAAGCTCTATTAGCGAAGAATGGCATCCAATTTTTGCGTTATTATACGTAAATATATATATATATATATATTAATAAATATATATATATATTCTTCTAAAGGACATAAACTTATATAGGATATAGAATATAGAATACAAAAAAAAAATATCCAAAAAACAGAATTTTAACTGTCTTAATTTCAAATTTTCTGTATTATTTTTGTACATCATTATATCGTAGCATACAAAACATTATAATAAAAAATTTAAATTTATTAATCGTGGTATATTTCATAATAATAATAAATAATAAATGACATATTTTTTCAGAGGACTAGTTTTCGCAGTAGTATTTCCTATACTTCAAATCGGCGTATTTGTTATGGCAATTGGTGATAATCCGAAAAATTTGAAGATTGGCATCGTTAACAATGAAGTCAATAACTGCAGTTTGGATAGCAACTTTGGCAATGTTTGGAGTGATGAAGTCACTTGCCATTTTGACAACCTCAGTTGTAGATTTTTGCATTATTTTGACAACTCTATCGCAATACAGGTACAATGGTTTAAAAATTATTATAATGTATAATCGGCATAAATATGATTACACATATACTATTGAGAATAAATATAAAATTAATAGAAAAATACACTTTTGCACATTCGATTGCGACTATTGCGCAAAATTGCATACATAACATTATTGCTTACAGCTCGATTGTTTACAAGTACTATTATAGTTACTATTTTTTATTTTAAAAACACAAATTCAGTACTTGAGACTTTCACTTTCTATAAAGAAATCGTGCGTTTTGAAAGTTATTTCCGTGTCCAAATCCATTCTTAGAATGCCAACGTTTCGTGAACATTGCAGTTCATTTTATTAGGGCCAGCCTGGTACTAAGTATTCCTATGATAAAGTCAACTGCAATGTTCACGAAACGTTAGCATTTTAAAAATGGATTTGGACACGGATGTAGATATGCATAATTTCTGAACATAAATTAAAAAAAAAATACAAATTTTCTGCTTTAGAAAGACAAATTCTCTGCTTTGACATACAAATTCCCTGCTTTAAAAATACAAATTATTATATTTTCTTACGTAGATTAATCTTAATTTGATATTTGTGTGTACGCCAAAATGCTTGTAGGTAATCGATTTGTAGATAATAATACATGTCGGCAAAACGTGACTTCGGTTCTAAAATTTTTATTTGTCTGCAAAAGTGCATGTAAGCAATCAAGCTATAATAATATATGTAGACAATCGATCTGTGGGCAATAATATTATGTGTGCAATATAGGTTGTGCGCAATAGTATCATGTTATGTATGTAGCGCTTCTTAATTTTATATTTATGCGTAATATATTTTTGTATATAAACGAACTAAATGTGATATAGGCAAACACGCTTTTCTTACCACCTTTCCCAAATTCAATAAATTGAAATATAAAAATCTTAACACACACACACACACACACACACACACACATACGAATAAACGAGGACGCGCGCGCACACATTTTCATATAAATTAAGAAGAAGATTACATAACAATTTCCTGAAAAATTAGACTGGAACTATTAGTACTAATACGATTAGACTATTGGTACTAACAATAACTTCTAGACAATACTATTTTAATAGTGTATGAATTAGTAACACTATTGAAGTAATAAGTGCATAAGTTTGTGGTATGGACTTATGGACAAACTTATGTACTTACTACTTCAACAGTGTTAAGGGCTTTGCATAATAAAAAAAACAGGGAACAGAGACAGAGAATAACAATTTCAACTTACCAGAAACTGTGTATCCACAATACATGATTTCTGATAGATTGAAATTCTTATTCTCTGTTCTCTATTTCCTATTCCTTTTATTGTGCGGAGGACCTTACTAATCTCTACAAATTAAAATTGTGCCTCGGAGTTTTTGATACTAACATTTTTAAGTCTAGCTTTTCGAGAAAATGTCATGTAACGATGTAACCGAAAGGACGACAGTAACAATAATTAAAACGTTATATATTTTCAATATTTTTCAATATTAACCTTCTTAAAACGTTATATGTTTTAAAAATTCTTATTAATATTTCGCTTTCAGGAGTACTATGACAACATTTCCGAGGCAAAACAGGCTGTACAAAATGCGAAGCTCAGTGGTTTGATATATTTTAGTCAAAACTTCTCCGAAGCTTTGCAGATACGCGTGGAAGAAGCCAATTCCGCGAAAGATTCCGATTTGCTCGCCAGCCAAATTCAAGTTTTTCTCGATATGGGCGGTACGTTATTTGTACATTAACAATGCGTTTTTATCGTTTAAAAATTTAAAAAGTTTAATTAATTTGTATATTTGAAAATATTATTTAAAATATAAAAAAATAAAATATACTATTTAAAAAATTATACAAAAAGATCTAAGAAATTGATGAAGGTATTACGTCATAAATATTTTAGCAGAAACGGAACGTAAATTAAACGATATATTAATAAAATTACAAATATGTAAATTTACAACGCCTCTGTTATAGATATGCAAATTGGACTTTATATACAGCAGAAATTATTCAAGCGTTTCTTAGAGATTTATGAAGATATCATGAGAGATTGCAAATATTCGCCAAAATTAGCCCATCCACCTATCAAAGTAAGCATATTTTATAATTAGTTATTATTTCAGTGACCACGTCCTTTATTGTAAAGGATTGTCCTTTATATTAGATAGCTTCCTTAGATATATTTATTTCTACAAAACTCAATTTTTTCCGTTATTTTTCAAATTTATCCTTTATTTTGACATTACAAGAAATTTTTTTCTAATTAGCATTCCAATGTCTACATATAATATTATATTAATGAGCAAATTTTTATAGAAAATATTTTATAGTTTTATACAGATAAATACAATTTGTTTTTGTTAATTATATTTCTTAATTTTTTAAATTTAATTTATTTAAACTAGAGTTGTTTTCATTTTTTATTATTTTGAACTTTTTATTATTTCAGATTAAGGGTTTGTTCCAATATAATCGAACCAGTTTCAAACTATCAGAAAATTACGTATTATCTCAATTTTGATTATTAGCACTGTGCAATAAAATTCTATAATGCACAGATTTTTGACAATCAAACTGGTTTGAAAATATGCAGGAAGAAAGCTCTAAAATTTTCAGATTTGTTCTTTATTTTTTTAAAGAAAATATGATCACCGTAATTATTATTGAACTCCACGGAGAGAACAATTTTGTTGAAGTATCCAAAAATTTAATTAGCTACAGATCTAAAAACATTAAAATTTTTAGGTTTTTATACTTAATTCCTACCTAAAAATGTTGATCGTCTTACAAAATTGTTTTCAAATCTATTATATATCTAGCGAAATATTTGAATACTTCAGCAAAATCATTCTCTCTCCCTCCCGCCCTTTCTCCCTTTCTCTCCTTCCCACACCGCTTTCCCCTCTCCACACCCGTTCTCTCTCTCTCTATGACGAAGAACTAAAATAAAAAAATAAAATTATATTCTTTTTAAGTTTGAAGAACCTATTTATGGTACGACCGATTTGAAGTATTCAGATTACATAGCACCAAGTTACATGTTAGGGTAATCGAAAATCAATTTAATTCAATTGAAGGATATTAATTGCTGATACTAACAATTATTCATATTCTTGCAGACTCAGCTTCTTTTTAGCCGCCACAGTTTCTACCACTTTAATAAATACAGATCGGATGGAGGGTGTCTGGGATCGAAGCGTAGTTCAAGGTAATTTACTAATATATTGTCAATCGCGTTCAAGATTATGTTTTACAATTATTGCTTCATCATTTTATTTCTTATCACAATAATGCAAATGTGTAATATAAATATGTGATAGGGGTCAGAACAGAAGAAATTCTGCTGTCTCACGTTCTTCTTCAGAGCGTCGTCATTATCATCCATACAGCTATGATAACGCTCTTAGTATTTCCTATATGGGGCCTAGAATGTAAAGGATCGATATTAATAGTAATGGTCCTCATGTTTCTCTCGGGTTTTTGCGGATTAATGTACGGTACGATTCTTCATATAATGCAATTCCGATATCAAAGAAAGGTTATACAGGGTAAACCATTTTAATGTCGACTGGATAAGAGTCGATTTTCTCAAAATCTATAAGTTTAAAAAATATTCCGGACAAAAGTTTTATAGTTTAAGGGGGAAAAAAGTTGATGATTTTGGTTGACCTTAAGAAGATGTCCTTAAGATTAGGTTACTTAAAATTTTTTGAACGGAACTCCTCATTTTTTATTACATATCCTTATAGCTGTCTTTAGACCTTCTAAAAACATTATAATAAAGTTCATTTTCATTAAGTACCTTTCGAGTTATGACGCCTGAAAGTTACAGTACCGTTGACCATTACAGTACCGTATTTGCATTTTACTCAAAGTGTCAGACTGATGGCTAAAATTTTTGAAATCTTGTTTACAATTATGACGTTGATAATTTATTACATACTATAATTTAATTTGCCTTAAACTATAATAACATTTTTACCTTACGTATTTTGAGAAAATCGACTGGATTAATTAAAATGGTCCACGTTGTATAGTAGTAATTATGGATAGATTTCCGTCAAGGTGAACTCCCTAATTTTCTTGTCGATTGATATACTACTGTATTTTGATGCCCTAATTACAAATATGATAATGAAAATTGCTGACAAAGTCATTTTCAAAGTCAAATATCTAAAAAACAACTTTTTAAACATTTTTTTCGCGTTTCACGTGGAAAGTCGTATGTTCCTACGCAGAGAGGAATGTGGGTTGAAAGTCGCTTCGTGTGAAAATTATGCGCCTGAGTAGGAGGGAGATAGAATGAGAGTAACTTTGCCTGGAAATCGTGCCCTCCTAAGCAGGGGGGTGCGCTTAGCCAGATTGCGCGGCAAATGACCGTCAAAATGACCTTGTTGGTAATTTTCATGATATTTGTAATCAGCACCCCAAAACACAATAGTATACCAATCGACAATAAAATTGAAGGGTTCATCCTTTCAGAAGTTCACTCATAATTATGTAGTAGTAATTTATATAGTAGTAACTCAGAAACTATGAACTAAATTGATCATTTATGTTAATATATTTTCAGGTTTTATTATCTCTGTTACATGCAAAAATCACACTGTAGCGAATTATACTTCGGCCGGAAGTTTTTTCGTGTTAATATTGCTCAACGGTGAGTCTTTACTTTTTATGCTTTAGGACATAATTTTTTTTAAATTTAATATTGCTACATGATAACATTATTAATTATTTCTGAATTTACAATTCTTTGTTACGTAATAATACGTTATACTATTATTAATATAAAAAGTTAGCAAATGTTAGTTCAAATTAACAACAATATCTCAAAAATAATTATCTTATGTTAATCAAATTTTTATCAATATATTAATTGACAAAATCATAGGATGTCTATGGCCAGTGGAGGGAATGCCAAAAGTGCTGCGCTGGTTTAATTATGCATTGCCAACTATTTTGCCCTCTACATCATTGAGAGAAATCATCTACAAGGGATATTCCATATCTAAACCACAAATTTATAATGGCTTTCTAATAATTGTAGGGTGGTCATTATTGTTTCTTATCGTAACTATATTTCGTGTAAGATCGAAGTCTTTTTGATATTATTCAGAAACGTAAACAAAATTTTTTAGAAATGAAATGGTTTTGTATAATTTACAGAATGCAGATAGACAAATATGCAAAATGTTCCATCTAATTTGATGTGCACATAAAAACAGTCTTTGATCTGTGTACAGAATTTTATACTAATTGTAGACTGTACAAAAATTTATATATCTGAGAAAATGTATAATTATTTTTATCCATTTAAATAGATATTATATAATTAGTCCATAAATATTATAATTAATCACTCTAAAGAAATAAATATTATGGCTAATATTATTTATTTAAGAAATTATAATAACAATTTTTTCTATTTAAATTAATAATTATCGTTCCAGACCATAGTGGCGCTTCGTATTTAAAGTAATGTATTAATATAAACGGTCTTTTAATTGTATTGTTTATACACGCTCGCCTATAATACGTAACTCTCTATATATATCGGTTATTGTGAAGTCTCGGTAGTCTAAAGGTTTTGGACGCTCGCATGGAATGCAAGAAATCCGGGTTCGATTATCGGCCGAGGCAACATTTTTCGCAATAAGTTTGTTACAGTTTTTTAAGATTTTGGTAATTTGAGTGATAATTAATATTTCAGATTGCGTTGAAAGTCCGACAATCATATCGGCATGCAATTATTATTTCTGAAATTAAATCATTTATTTGAATATATG